AAACGCGAGGACCATGGTCTCCCTTTCGAGAACGGAGGGAGATCATGGTCCGATCTTTCATCTGAATCAGATTTTTAACAACGCGACTCGACTCCCAATTCGAAGACTCGTACGGTTTGTCAGCCACAAGAGATCATTTCAATAATAAATGATCACTCTTAAGGAAGTAGTACCGCCGAAGAACTGAACGGAAACTTGTTGCCTCTTTATATTCGCGGGAGTTGTTAGCGTTAAGTAAGTGAGAACAAGGATCTACAAAAAGTTTTGGACGGCGACAGTTAAGGTGGCGGGCATCATCGAGAACGTGGAGAAGCTCGTCTGGCGAGGTAAGGCAATCTCCGTGGGTCACATGCAATATCGGAGCTGCTCATTAGCATGATGTCTACTTAACGAAAGTCCGGAATTGAACGCAGCGAAGGGTAATCCTCCGGATGCCGTCGCGATGACCCAATTACCGCACTCGTAAAGTGCAACGGGGCGGGACGTGAGCCACATGAAAGCCGTGAACAGCCAGAAAGTTTGTTAGTCTCTCGTAGTCTTTCGACACGTTAAGAGGCTGCGCACGCGGCCCTCCTCTTCCCGTTCGTAATTAGTTAAGCCGGCCTCTTAACGATACTTGAAACATACACCGACGTATCTCGGCGTGGAAATAGTAATTATTTACGGAAGCTCGTCGAACTAGGCCGGAAACGTTTATCGATATCAGCAGGAATCACGGTGCAAACGAAAAGCGGCGGACGTGTACAAGCCCGGTCGAAAATTTAATTAAATCCACCGTTAAGTTTCCGGTATTCGAACCCGATCGCGTTAATTCGATCCTGCAAGCAAATCAGTTCTCTAAGTAATTTCATCGATATCGGAACGGATGTTTAATGGTTCTCAATGAATTTCCAACTATTTTTTACCCCCTACCTGTTCCGTTTCTTTGCTCCAACACCTATCGAACGAAAACGAATTCCCAACGAGATTCTACTTGATTGCGCTTTCACCACTGTCTAACTGTTTTATTTCCCTCGCTAAAACTCGTTGCGCTTCCTTTCATTTCACGTTCTACGGTTCCGAGAAATATGTATATTGCGAACAACGCGTATCCTTCGTCGATGATTTAAATGAAACGAAGAGTCGCTGGACGGAACCGATTGCCATTTTCGCAAAATTACGCCAATAACCTGTCCGATATAATGTCCGACTTCGGCGTATCAATTAGCCAGAGCAACAACGCCTGGGAACCGTAACTCGGCCACGAAGGTACATAGATCCACGATTGCATTAGCAACACCGATACTCTGCCGTGGCGCGGCGGCGGGGCTCGGCGCACCCGTTGAATAATGCACGAGCTGACATTTCGTCCAATAACAAACGCTCCGTTATTCCATCGTTATTCTCGCCGGCTGGCTGGCTGGTCGTTTAACCAGAAATACGTAGATTTTAGATACCTTTTCGGGTCTCTGTCTCTCCCGCGGGAAATGCACGTCTTGTATAAATTGAATCGAAATCGACGGATCGCAGACACCACCCGGTGACGAGTTTCACGCCCTCAACGGTGACACACTATTGCGGATTACCGAACGGAATTTATGTTTTCGTCGAGGGGGACGATAACTTTCTTTAACGCTTTAGCGGGCTTATCATATTTGTACGAATCCTCGATGCTAAGCCTGATAAACGAGCCACTGGGATTTCCTCCTATATAAAGACCGCGAACTCCCTTTTTATCGGTGCGTTCCGTTTTGCGGACGCGGGGATCATGCAGGCCACCGTCGAAAATTTGATTGACGAACGTATATTCGAGATTTCGATTCCATTGGTCCACGTGTACCTGGACAAAGTTATCGTTTCGATAATCAGTTCTTTTAATGCAAACGCAGACCGTGAAAAGCTGCATTAGCTAATTATTCTGCGTGGCAACCGGAACCGGAAACACTGCCAGACCGTATGTTTCGCGCCGACCGGCGATATTAATAGCGACGCGCGCGTGCCGGTTCGTTTAGTAAATTATAGATACGGGGGACGGTAACGCGGATATCATCGAAATTTTCGCCACACCGGGGACCAGTAATAAGATAGATCGACATTATGTAACCCCGTAATGAACTGACGTGTTGTTAATTACAGTACTGCCGCGCTGGCGAACATGGACAAGCCGTGCACGTTAGCTCGCGCGATTTCATTTCAAACTATCCACGTCCGACCGTCAAATCACAGAGTTTATTCTTTCGATGAAAAATTTGCGCGGTACCAAGAATTTGACACGGATGAAAATTAATATTCAGGTGTTCATAAAATAATTATTTACGTGAGTAAAAATTGATGTCCCTGACGAGAATTTGCAAATCCTGCTCTTTTGTCAAACAACTATGTACGCAAGCACGCCGCGCGATGATACCTGAACACCAGGAATCTCTGGTACAACCTATGGAGCTCGAAATTAGCTACTTTCAACCATCTTCCAGCCGAGACGAATGGCGGGCCGTAGCGAGCTAGACAGCTGGACTAATACCGTCTCGGTGGAGCTGGTCCTAATGGAAACCTAGGACAGCCAGAATCCCGGCTTCGTCTAATTTATTTGTCGATGGTCCGGTGGCTGCACGTTTGGACGGATTCCTCGTCTCGGAAACCCTTGGGGAAACTGTAGGCAACCGTGGTGGCAGCTTGTTCGTCGCTTCTGTCGGCCGCGCTTCAATCGTTTTTCCTCGTGCGTATACCGCGCGCTGGAAACTCATTAGAGCAGAGCGTATCGAAATCGTTTCCAGAAAAACGTGAAAGTAACGTGTTCCGCGATTCACCGGCCAAGTTAATCGCTTGATCGGTCCATTAAAATCTAGTCTTCGCTGCTCAGCGGTGATAATGCTTGTGCCTAATACTTAATGTGTATATGTGTCTGGTTCCCGGTGATTTTTACGACTGCGTTTCCGCTTGATCGTGTCCCAGAGGAAAAATCGACGTTCCGTTTAGCCGTGAAACGATGATGGGATTCAGTCCCCCGAGCCGACCGATACGCCAATCATTTCGTTCCGCAGCGTCACCGTCCGCGTCACGAATCTGAAATCTAGATGCGCAAGCTGATTTGCTCGACGCCCCAATATCCCCGATTCCCTTAACGCGGTCAGAGGAAGTTCTCCACCGTCCCGTGTACCTCCTCCGGCGCGGTCGACGGATGACGTCGCGCGAGCATCATTCGCGGGTAACGTGATTGATAAGCGACCGAGCCGATAACGAGAGCATTAAACGCGTTGCGATGCGTGGCGATAAATCAAAAACAGAACAGCTCCGTGTTTTTCGCATGTTCTTCCGTTCGGCCCCTTGACACAACTGCTTTATCGTTTGTACTTTGCACTGTGATATATTAATTGATTATTTATTTAATATATCATTCGAGAAAGATACGGACGTTTTTTTATTTAACAATTTGCTGCGATATTGTTAGCTCGTTTCTTATCCGGTTGTAACGGAAGCGTGGCATGCGTTTGGCAGGTGACGGTGGAATTGTTCTCGGTGGAAAACGTTTTTTCCCCCGTACAGGGAAAAACGGTCGCGGCCCGTGTTTTCATTAAATCGTCGCCCATTCCGGCGAGCGGACAAAAATTGAACTCTTCGGGGCCAGCTGTTCCGCGCCGTGTAACAACGCGAAACGATACGCGGTCCGCAACGTTAATCGCGCGAGCTCGTTGCCAAAAAACTGTGCCAACGTGCGAGAAACAAAATCGCTTTCATTTCACGCGCTAATAAAATCCGTATCATATTTTCGTGTCAACGAATCGGCCCGCGCGCCGCGCCACGCCGTCGGCGCCGCACCGTCTGCGGGAAATTGCTATCAATTTAATCGATACTTGTACACGCTTTCCCGAGAACTGACCGTTACCACGTTGGTCCCGAAACCAACGTGAAAATGTGACGCGGATTTATCGTACCTTGGCGATCAACCAAAATTCCAAAGATCTCGAGGGACTTCGGAAACTCCATTGCGATAAAACGCATTTCTGTATTCATGCTACGTGCGTACGTACACATCGAGCTTAGCAACGAACTTGAAAACGTGAAATCGAAAGAACAACCAGAGGAAGGAGTTCCATTCGACGGGATGGCCTTATATCTCCTCTCTTCCGGTAACGACATCGATAACAGTATCTGAACCAGCATATAACTCAAACGAGAGACCAACGCAGTAGCGTGGATCCTCGAACAAAGGGAATGTGCCTCGACGATTCCGAGCCTATCGATTCCCAAGCCTTTTCCTTTTCCACGGGAGATTATTCGCGTCTGGTAACCGGACTTCCTTCGTTTTTCTTCCTGTTGCTATCGATAAACGAACCTCGGTGGATGTAAAACGAGACCTTCGGGTATGTAGTTAATTCGAGACAAAGGTGGGAAACGGGACGCGCAGACCTGTGTATCTTCTGGATTCGTATGGTTCGAACAATCAAAAGATCGAAACCAAAGTATTCACCGTATATTGCATTAATTAAATTCCGTTTTCATGACTTATCCATTGAAAAAGTATCACGTACGTTTGCAATAGAGGATCGTGTAGCCGCGATCTAGAAAGTTTTATAGTCCAGGCGACGAAATTCAATTATGAATATTAATAAAATAGTACAATGGTCTCCTCGGTTTTGTTCTTGGCTCGACTGCGCTAATGAACGACGTCGCGTTCATCCTTTTCATCGCCGTGCTTCGGTCTTATATTTGGACGGCGAACAAATTAAAGATAATTGTTCACACAAGAATGGCGTATATTGCAATAAATTCAATGTTACGCATACGTTTGAGAAGCGACAGACTCGGAAAACGCGTGAGACGTATTCGACGTCGGCGAATGGAGAGCGAGGTAAAGTACGCGCATTTATCCTGTCGCGCGTTATTGAGATTTTCATAATGTGGGAGAACGATGGCGGACAACGAGCGGCAGGGTGCATAAAAGGGGAGGACGTCCGGCGCGCGCGGTTTCATGAATAAGAAAAAAGGGAGCGGGGACGAATGCGAGGCGGCGAAGATTTGTGGACCGGGCAACAATATTTATTACGAACCGTCGAGTCATCTGTAAACATAAAATAACCAACCTTGCGTGGCGTGCAAGCACACGTACCGCGGCGTGTGTGTGGGTGCATGCACACCAGGCCCTATTGCATCGGGCAAGCTCGCTTCAATTTTCCTTTGAGTTGCAACGTACGCGCGCACCGCGAATTTGTCAGAATGAAATATCTAAATCCCGGTGCGCATTAAAATGTTCTCCGGGGGATGGAAGCGGCGTTACACGGCATTAGCCCTTTGATACCTGGTCGCTGAACTGTCTCGTCGTATCTAACTCTTTTATGCTCCACAAAAGCCAACTTTGCCTTGCATTTCCTCCAAATGAAACCAAATAATGACAGTGTGCTTTCATTTAGCCGAGTCTCAGGATATTCGCAAGCGTCGATGTTCTTGGCTCACATTACATATAAGCTTGTCGATCTTTTTACCGCGCAAAGTGGGATAGAGTCGGGTGGGAGATGAAAATCGATATTAACAATTCGTAACTGTTCATGTTCTATCAGAATTATGTGTCTCACGTAAATGCGTAGTTGAACTGTTACACGAGTATCTAGCGTAGGTATGCATATTCTTATCACTAGCTCCACTAAATTACTTGATTGTGCTACAATTCGAGTGTCAATATCGCGATTCTCGCGCGATGGAAGAAGCCCTCTGCGGCATCAATGTTTCACGCGTGTATGTACAGCCGTGGGATTATTCAAGTTGATGAGAGGAACCTTCGTTATATGTATTTACATGACATTACGGTTAATACTTGGTGGCAGCAAATGATAATACTCGTCCGGAATATGTTGAGAGTTATAATAAGCAAACAAAGTAGGATTTCCATCGCCGCGAGCATCATTCTTAATACAATTATTCTGTAATTATTACCTAAAACAGCATCGTGGCCGTGCGTGAACGAAACGATTGTACTATTTATACGCGACGGTGTTTCCACTGCTGAAACCGTCTATCACGGTTACAATGTCGCGTGAATGTAATATAAATATGCGTGGAATTAAATTATGGCTGTTATCTTCGTCTAAACTAGTCTAAACGATGTGCTATCATGGCACGGTGCTCTATGCGTCTTGATCCTCTTAAGACCAAACGATTTCGCAATGTACTTCAAGAATTGCAGTCATTTTTTGCAAAGTAAACTACGTTAAATTCTGTCTGGATAATGCATCTGGATAATGCATCCCGGAAGAATTAAGTCTTAAATTGTTAAATCAGAAATACGAAACGATGCCAGACATAATTACCGACTAATACGCGTTTACGAACATGATGCAGCAATACTGTGTAAATACCTGAGTACAGAGTATAGGTAATTATGTTTTCCCGCCTAAACGGAGGAAGCATCATGCGATCGTCTGCGTGTGTGTGTAATCTATTGTACGTAGACGTCTAGACGACAGATAACACGGGCGCGTCAACGATAGCCTTAACTGGCAGCAATAAGGGATAATTAGCCGCGTTAAAAATTCATTAAATGGACAGCGTGCGCGAGAGAGAGAGAGAGAGAGAGAGAGAAAGATGGAGAGAATAAACAGAAGGCGTCCCTCATCCATTTACTATGCGGAATAGAAACGATTACTGTTATTGTCCACTGGCACTTTGCTTCCTCTGATAAACAATTTCGTAGTTGAATCTGAAAGCGTTATCTGTTTTTCAAAAGTTTCTCAATCGACAATCATCAATGCAACTTTTAAGAGCCATTTCTCCTATCCGTCTCCTCTCGCATTTCTCTCTTTCAAATTTGAAACGCGTCGCGGTGTATATTCGCCTCTTTAAGACGGCGAATCCTGCGACTCCTGCCTCGTCTGCACTTTCCCGATGTTCTCTGCCTCCCACACCGTGTCCGGAAGTTTCGTTCCCAACGTTTCCGGGAAGAACAAGGACAGCAGGCCCGCGAACAGACCCATGCATCCGAACAGGATCAACGGTAACGCCGGCATGATTTGTGCCTGCGAAGAGAACAAACAATCCTTTTTTGCGGGGAATGCGCGAACCTCGGTGTCGAAGATATCACGGCGAGCAACAAGCGGTTAGACGTTCCGCATTCTTGCGGTGGCCGGCTTACCAAAAGTGGAGTTTGCGGCGACAATATTGACCCCATGCGACCGGTCATGCTGCAGATTCCAAGGAGGGAGTGTCTCAGGCTCGTTGGGAACAGCTCCGTGGTGTAAATGTAAACCGTGGAAAAGGACATCGTGATGCACCACTTGCCTGCCATGTACAAAACCAGCGGCAAGAAGCTCAGGGTACCTGTGGACGTACTTCATTTCTGTAATCCGTAACTGAAACGGTAAGAAAGAGAAACCGAATTGTGTACCTGACGGTACGAATTGTATGGCCAAGCAGAAAACGCCGCTCAGTAGGAAAGACGAGGAAAGTGTAGCCTTGCGGCCTATATAATCGGTCAGGAACCAGGTCAAGAAGTAGGCCGGGATCTCGACGACGGCGACTAGTATGAAATTAACGTATTTGTCACCGGCGAAGGCTACGGAGTTCAACGACAATCCGTAATAAACGAACGTGTTCGTCAACCAGCAGAACGAGCAGACCAGCAGTCGAGTCAGTATCACCGAACTTTTCAGAACTTCCATCACAGGCGATTTTTTCTTCGGCGCTATCACTTGTTCCGTCTGTAAGATAAAATACAATGCCTGTTAAATTGGTGCAAAAAATGATTGCATTGGTCGCAACGTACAGTAAAAACTTCGAGCGTACCTGAAACATTTTAAGGATGTATTGGCTATACAGTCAATTCCAAAAGTTTATACACTTTAGAAACGCATTTTTTAAAAAGAAATCAGACGTCGGAAGAACATTGCTAATAATAAACAACAAAAAAAAAT